GGGATGTCGCCTCTCGCTGCTGGGGCCACCTCGGGGATTTGGGGTCCATCACAGCCATGAGAGGCGGGGGGGACACTGTGGGGTCCCCACAGCTGTGCTCCTCCTTCCCCCCCTACCCCCCCCACAACGTGTGTCCTGTGTCACCCCAGAAATGCCATGTGTGCTCCCCCCACATTGTCCCCACCTGCGTTGTCCCCCCATGGGTGCTGTGTCACCCCACAGATGCCGAGTGTCTCCCCCACAGCCATGGGTCACCCCCCCTGCCAGCCCCACAGCCCTGTGGCCGTGTGCCACCAGCAGCAGTGGTGGCCGTGCCCAGCTGCAGTGGCGGTGTCAGCAGTGGTGGCCCCGTTTGTGGCAGGAAGGACAGGGACACCCCACGTGGTGTCACCGCAGGCAATGCCGCGTCCCCCAACATGGAGGAGCCGCACTGTGGCAAGTCCGTCATGGGACTTGAGGGGCAGAGCCTCCCCGGGTGACACTGCTGGGGACATGGGACTGCCACACCCTGTGTGCACTGGGCTCTGCTCCCCAAAGCTGGGCCCCCCACAGCCACACCTTTGGGAGGTGCTGTCCAAAACCGGTGCTGGGGATGGCTGGGGGCAGGTGACCATGGGCAGGGGAAACCAGGTGCTCTTTAAACCCACAGCTAATTGCAACCCCCTTTCTCCATCCTGCATCCTCAAGGAGGACACATAGAGGGTGGGACCCCCAAAATCTCTGCTTGCTGCTGCCCCATCTCTGGAAGTATTCCGGGCTGGGTTGGACAGGGTTTGGAACAGCTGGGATAGTGGAAGATGTCCTTGTAGCAGGAGAAGCAGACAGAGAGTGGCCATTTTGTGCCGTCCATTAGCAGCTGCCCTGGGGTGCCCAGGGGGTGACCCCAGCCCGAGGTGAGCCCTCTCCCCTCTGCCTTGCAGCTCCTGGCGCGCATCGAGCGCATGGAAAGGCGGGTGCAGCTGGTGAAGAAGGACAGCGAGCGGGAGAAGCACCGCATCTTCCAGGGCTTTGAGGTGGATGAGAAGCCTGAGGCAGAGGCCTGTGAGAAGCTGCCTCTGGAGTGTCCCCAGGAGCTGCTGGAGCCTCCCCCGACCCTGCAGCCCAAGCACTTCCCCTACGGCAGAAACGGGAAGGGGCATAAAAGGTACAGAGTGCACGGGGGGGCTGTGTGGGAAGGAGGGGGGACACTCCCTATGGCTTCACCTTTGAGGTGTTTGGAGAGGCCACCCAGTACCAGGAACACATCCCTGTGTCAAGGAGAACCTCAAGAAAGCCTGTGTGGGGAGTGCAGGGTCACAAAATCCTGGGGAAACCACTCTGTAAATTGCTTAAATCTGGCCCTGGTGCAGCAACCCTGGTTTGGGGGTGCCAGGAGCCCCCCACAGCGTCCCTGGTGCAGGGCGAGGATCCATGTGCCTGGCTCAGCTCTTCTTCCTCCTGCAGGAAGCCAACATTTGGGAGCACAGAGAGGAAGACGCCTGTGAAAAAACTAGTGTCAGAATTCTCCAAAGTGAAGAGTAAAACTCCAAAACACTCCCCGGGGAAGGAGGAATCGGGCGGCTCCTTGGCTGAAACTGTTTGTAAACGAGAACTGCGGAGCCAAGAGACTCCGGAAAAAAACCCGCTCGCTCCTGGAGACCCCACTGAGAGCATCAGCCCCACCCAAGGGTCCTGGCACTCACCCCAAGGAGAAAAGCTTTGTCAGTGAGGCCGACGACCTGCCCTACCTGTCCACCACAGAAATGTACCTGTGCCGCTGGCACCAGCCGCCCCCGTCGCCGCTGCCGCTGCGGGAGCCTTCCCCCAAAAAGGAGGAGACTGTAGCAAGTAAGGATGGAGAGAATGATGGAGAAGCTGCTGGGCTCGGCCAGCCTGGGAACAGGGCTCAGCACCCTCATTCTGAATCTGGGAAAGGGCTCCCACATTCCCAAAGGGAGTGCCTGTGGTGGTGGAGAGGTGTCATGCTGCTGGCTCCTTCCACTGCGGTGGGTGCTGGCTCTGGGCTGTCCCAAATCTCTTCGTGGGCTCTCCCCGCTCTGGGCAGGGCTCCTGGCTGGTGTCTGGTGGAGCAGCTTCCTGTGGGTGGGTGGGAAATGTGTCTATGGCTCATGCCACGGTGACACAGCACTGGGGTCACCTGCTGTCCCCAAATCCCAAAGCCCAGCGAGGTTGGTGCCAGCGCTGGGAACTGGGCTGTGCCAGGTGGCTCAGCACTGTGGCTCAGACAGAGCCTGGCACATGCCTGGGAGTGCCTCAGCTTTGCTTGTGTGCTTGGCTAAGGGGGTGGAGATCAGCTCTGCTGCCCTGTGGCTGGCTGGGGATGGGGGGTTGTCACATGGTTGTCAGCCAGATGTCCACTGCTGGCTCAGGATGGGGGTTTGGGGCATCCCAAGCCGTGCTCCAAGGAGAAGGATGGGCAGGAAGGGAGTGTGGAGGTGGTGGGATGGTGCAGAGGGTGGCTGTGGGGATTCTGGTGTGGGCTAACTCCCTTCTCCTTGTCCTGCAGTTCCGTCTTGGAGGGACCATGTCGTGGAGCCCCTGAGAGACCCCAACCCCTCGGACCTCCTGGAGGTACGTGAGCCATCAGTGGTGCCACAGGGGCTTTCCAGGCTGTGCCCCACTCCCAGAGCTGGTGGCATCTCATCCCCTCATCCAGCACAAAGCCCATCTGTGGCTGGGAGGCTGAGCTGGGGGGATCTGGCCCTGGGATGATGCACTGATCCCTGTCTGGTGTCATTGCAGAACCTGGACGACAGCGTCTTCTCCAAACGGCATGCAAAGCTGGAGCTGGATGAGAAACGAAGGAAAAGGTTGGAGCAAAGGGGGTCTGGAGTCCCAGTCTTACAGGGGAGGGACCTGGAGCAGGGGGCAGGGCAGGGTGCAGCTGGGATGGGCACCAGGAATGTTGCAGGAGGAGGGATGCTCTCACATGACTGGCAGCCAGTGCAGCCCTGTGATCACTCTCTCTCTGCTGAGGGAGGGGTTCTGGTCTCTGGGGGAGTGTGGCACTGCCCCACAGCTCCTCACTTTCCCAGCCATCCTCTTTTCCAGGTGGGACATCCAGCGGATCAGGGAACAGAGAATCCTACAGCGGCTGCAGCTCCGAATGTACAAAAGGAAAGGGATTCAGGAGTCGGAACCTGAAGTTACCTCATTTTTCCCTGAGCCAGATGATGGTGAGGCTTGGGAAGGGGGTGTCAGGGGTGGGGGTACAGGTTGGGGGTCTCACACACTCTGGTGTCTCTCCACAGTGGAAAGTTTGCTCATCACCCCTTACCTGCCCGTCGTCGCCTTTGGCCGGCCCTTGCCCAAACTGACCCCACAGTGAGTACTGGGGGCGGGAGGGGATGGGGCTGGGGAGTGCCAGTGTCACTCCTAACAAGGCACCCTGCCCATTTTGGGTCTCGATGGTGCCATTTTGGGTCAGGATGGTGCTGCAGTGACACCAGCTGTGCCCACAGGAACTTCGAGCTGCCCTGGCTGGACGAGCGCAGCCGCTGCCGGCTGGAGGTGCAGAAGAAGCAGACACCACACCGGACCTGTCGGAAATAAGGGAGATCCTGAGAGCTCCAAACACCTCCAGGAGCTCCAGCCACCTCCAGGAGCTCCGTCCTCAGGAGCTCTGAACACCTCTAAGGCAGCAGAAGCTCTGCCATCAGCGGGTCACCACCCGCTGCTGCCTGCTCCGTGCTGACGGATGGTTTCGTTCTTCTGCGATCCCAAGTTTTGTTCGTTTGGGTTTTGGAACGTTTCCCGGACTCATCCCCCGCACTGGCACCGCCTTCCCAGTGCCACCAGCCTGCAGCTCCACTCCTGGGGGCAGTGGGTGGATCCCAGCCCCATCCTTGAGTCCCCTGTGTGCCACCCCTGCACTCCACAGCCCGTGGCCTTGGGATCTGGGGCTCTCCCGTGTCCGGTGGGAGCACGGGGATGACCAGCACCAGATCCCGTGTCTGGGGGTGCCACATCCCCCGGGACTCACCCGCTGCTGCCTTCATGTTGTGTTTAGTTAGAGAGCAGGATAAACAGCGGATTGTGTTTGTTGGAGCCAGCTGGGAACTGGGAAGCGCCTGGGATTCTCTTTTGGGGAGGTTTTCCCCCCTCTTTGGTGGTTTTCCTCTCTGGAGTGGGGTTGGCGGGGGCAGAAGGGAGAGTTAAAAAGCAAAAATTTCCTTTTTTTTTTTTTTTTTTTTTTTGTGAAATAGAAACCCTGTGCGCACAATTTGGGGGGTTTTAATGGTTTTTTTAAAATGTAATTTAAATGTTTTGAGGCGGGCAAGGGGTTTGCTGTGAGGGGGGGCAATTATTGCCTGTCCGAGCCCCTGGGTGCTGCTGGACCCTCTTGGTGCTGGATGGGTGGGGAGGGGGCTCCATGGGTGGGGGCTCCATGTGTCCCTTTTCCTCTTTTTTCTCCCTATCTCCCTTTTTCCTCCTATCTTTTCCTTTTTCCTCACCTTCCCCCCCTTTTTCCACATTTTTTCCCCATTTTTTTCCCTCCCTACACTGAGCCTTGTGCCCCCCCAGTCTTACCCCCCACTGCCCCCCTCTCTATAATTAACCCCGAGCTTATTGAACGCCGAAAAACTCGTTTACAAAAAAAAAAATTAGCAAAAAAAAAAACTTTAAGAAAAACAAACTTAAAAAAAAAAAAAAACAAAAAACAACTTAAAAACCCGGAAATTGTTTAAAAAATCGATAAAGTTCTAAAACCGCCGAGTTCTAAACAAACGTTACGGGGAGGGGGTGGGGTCATTCGCGGACACGCCCGCTCGCTGGTTTTATTTTATTATTTTTTATTGCTTTTCGTTGTTGGTTATATATTTTTTTTTCGTTGTTTTTTTTTTTTTTTTTTTTACAATAAACAAGGAAAAGGCCGCTGGGTGCTGATGATTTACCCGCCCTCGGGTGTGACGTCACTTCCGCGGGGCCGGTGACGTCACCGGCGCGCGCGGCGCGCGCCCCCTGGCGGGCGCGGTACCGGAAGACATTGGGGGGGGGCGGGCGGCGGAGGCCGAGCGCGCGCCGTTCCCGTGGTGCCCCGCGGCCAAGATGGCGGACCGGCGGCGGCAGCGCGCCTCGCAGGACAGCGAGGACAGCGAGGGCTCGGCGGCCTCCGACAGCGCCGGGTCCGCTCCCGGTTCCCCCCGCTCCGCCCGCTCCCGCTCGGGATCCGGATCTCGCTCCCGTTCCCGGTCCGGCTCGCCCCGGCTGTCGCACCGCCCGCCGCGCGGCGCCGCGGGGGCCCTCGGAGCTGGGCCGCGGGGCCGAGGGGCTGAGAGCGCCGGTGGGGCCGGGGGGAAGAGCGCGGCCGAGTCGGAGTGTGTGAGTGAGGGGTTGGGGGCGCCTCGGGGATGGGGGGCTCGGGGGTTGGAGTGTGGCCGGGGGATGGAGAGGGGTTTGGGGACACTGAGGACTCTGGGGATGGCGGGGGGCTTGGGGACATTGAGGAGCCTGGGGATGGCGGGGGACTTGGGGAAACCGAGGAGCCTGGGAATGGCGGGGGGCTTGGGGACACTGAGGACCGTGGGGAGGGAGGGGGCTGAGGGGAAGGTTCTGGTGTCTGGGGGAATCAGGAGGAGGTTTGGGATGCTGGGGAAAGGAGGGAGGGGGCCCAAGGATGTTCTGGTGTCTGGGGGTCCCGAGGGGAAGGCAGGGGGTGGGACACTGAGGAACCAGGGCAGGGAGGGGGCTGAGAGAGGTTCTGGTCTCTAAGGGAGGCTGAGAGAGGGGTTCTGGTGTCTGAGGAGGGCAGAAAGAGGGGTTCTGCTCTCTAGGAAGGGCAGAGAGGGGTTCTGGTCTCTAAGGAGAGCGTAGAGAGGGGTTCTGGTCTTTGAGGGGGGCTAAGAGAAGGGTTCTGGTGTCCAGGGAGGGCTGAAAGATGGGTTCGGGTTTCTAGGGAGGGCCTTGGGGAGGAGTGAGAGACCTGGGGGGCTCTGCTGTTGGGGGGACTGCTATTAGGACCTGCAGGATGTGGGGACACTGGGGACAAAGTGGGGGGTGGAGAGCTGGGGGAACACCAGTCTGGGGAATTGGGGGAATGGCCTGAACCCCCCCAAAATGTGTGTGGGAGAGCTGGGCTGGAGCAGAATCCCAGGACCAGGCTTTGCTCTGGCTCCCTGTGGCTGGATCTCCCCAGTCTGAGTTCCCATCCCTGTTCTTGGGGTGCTGTGCCTGTTCCTGGGGTCCCTGCAACAAGGGCAGGTGTGGGGTGGGTGCTGCTCTCTCCCCCCACTGTGCAGTTCTACTTTGCAGTTTCACATCCAGGTGCAATTCCCTCCTGGTTTGGGTTCTGCTGGTGGTTATTTCCAGCTCTTTCCTGTTTTAGGTTCCAGGGCTGGTTATTTCCAGCTCCCCCTGACTCCCTGGGTGTTTTTCTCTGGTGGTTTTGGGTTTATCTTGTCACCTTGGTCGGGTTGTTTGTGCTCTGGGGTTGTGTTTTTCTGTACAGTTGGGTTGATCTTTGTCTTTGTGCTGGAATCATGGAATGGTTTGGTTTGAAAGGAGCCTCAAAGCTCATCCAGTTCCACCTTCTACTTTGGGCAGGGAGCAATTTCCACTATCCCAGTTTAATCTAAGCCCTGTCCAACCTGCCCTTGGACACTTCCAAGGATGGGGCAGCCACAGCTTCTCTGGGCAGCAGTTTTACTGAGCACTTTTCCTTCTCTGAGCTGTTTGCTTCTTCCAGCCCCTTCCCTGAGCTGAGCCTCTGTTTGTTATTCCCTGTTCTTGCCCTTTCCCTGGCTCTTGGTTGCCAGGGCAGGGATCCTGGCTTCCCTGTCACTGTCACTCCATTCCCTGGAGACCCCCAACACCAACAGGCTGTACGATGCTCTCCATCTTCCCCTGCTGTCGCTGCTCTAGAAGGTTCTTGGAGCCTTAGAAAGGCTCCAGTTTGTTTCTTCTTGGTCACTGGAGCTGAACTTCCAAGGGTGGATGCAATAGGGTTAGGGCCAGACCTTGCTGTTATCATGTATGGGATGCTGGGTATTAGGAGAAATGGACATTAGGACAAAAGAACAGCTGTTAGGAAAAGGTATTAGGGTAGTAGATACTAAGAAAATATGTTCTGAGGGAATTTTTCTTCATGGAAGGGGTGGTCAGGCACTGGCCCAGGCTGCCCAATTCCCTGAAGTGTACAAAAACTGTGGATGTGGCTTTTGGGGACGTGGTTTAGTGGTGACTTGGGGCTGGTGTTTGTTGAAGGTTGGACTTGATCTTAAAGACCTTTTCCAATCTCAACAATTCCATTATTCTGTGTTTTTATGAATCCATGATTCCATGTTGCTAGGACCTCGCTGCTGCCCTCCCCTGCTCTAACAGCCCTCACTTTTCTCTCTCTGCAGGAAAGTGAGGATGGCATCGAAGGAGATGGTGAGTGATGGCTCTTGGGCAGGGTTGTTTGTGTGCAAAAAAGTAAAAACCAGACAAAACAGCTTTTCCAGCAACCCTGTGGTTGTTGCCATGCCAAACATCCATTTGTAACAGTATGCCATGCCAAATATCCATTTGTGGGACAGTGGACAGTGTCCCAAACTCTTCCCTGCTCCCCATAGCTGGCTGTGGCATTGATCCAGGGTGCTGCTGGCATCCAAATTCCCTTTGGGAAGGGTTTGGTGCCATGGCAGAGGAGCCATGCCCAGCCCTGCCCTGACCCCACTCCTCTCCCTCCCCACAGCTGTGCTCTCTGACTACGAAAGCGCCGAGGACTCGGAGGTAAGGGTGACCCCTGTCCTGCTGAGCCCCTGATTCCCGTGGAATTTCAGCACAAACCCAGTTTGTGTCCTTGGATCCCTTCCCTCTGTCTCCTGAGGAAATGGCCTCCCCCACTCCCAGCCCCTGGCACTGGGACCAGTGTCACTGTGCTGCTGGGGAGGGTGCAGGGCCAGTATGTGCAAGGGAAAAACCCTCCTGGCTCCTCACACTGGGAACTGGATTTGCCATGGCCAAGAAGGGCGTGGGAGGAGTGTGGGATGCTTGTTGGGTTTTAATTAGTTGGAATTCAAAAGCAAAGTGGTGGTTGGGAGCATCCCAGGGGCTTCCCTCTGTTCTGAGGGAGCAGCTGGAAGGGGAATGCACTTTGGGAATTAGGGGGTGCTAAAGGAATCCCATCCCACCTGTGCCTGGGGGGCTGCAGGTTCCCCTGGATTTTTAGTTCAGAACTCTAAAGTTTGAGATTTACAAGGAGTTTAGAGAAGTTCTGGTGTCTTAAGAATTATAGTGAAGGCTTTCTAAGGAAAATCCATCTGTGTTTTGGGAATCTTGAGGGAAACAGTGGCTAGAGACTATCCAAACCACCAGGCAGAGGAAATCCAAGCTGGTTTTTTGGGAATTAATCTCAGTTTGGGAATTAATCTATGGCATTAACAAGGAAGGAGCTCTGCAGGCTGCAGAGGTGCTGGGGCAGCTTCCAGAGCTCTTCCAGCCTGGAATCCCGCGTGGAGGCTCCCAGTGGCAGCAGGGTTGTTGCATCACTGCCTTGCCAGGATGACTCTGTTCCTGTACCTAAAAATAATGCCCAGCTTGGGCTTCCCCAGTGTAAACACCGGGAGCAGCCGATGTGCAAGGGCTGTGTTGAAAGAGGAAAATGGAGCAGGGTTTGGTTAATCACCCCGAGCTATTTTTAGTTCGGCTCCAGCCTCCGGAGGCTCCTGGGGGTGAAACCAGGTCATGCTCCTGAGCAGAGTGAGTCAGCTGAGGAACTCCAGGGAATTTGGAAACGTGGCCCTGGCTGGATCCAGGCCCTCAGTGTGGAAGGAAGGGCCTGAGATCACCAGTCTTCCCAGTCTGCAGGAGCCTTTTTGGAGTGGTGGGATGTCACATCTTTGTGGGGCAGCTGATCCCAGCTCCATTCCAGAAAACCTGTTGGATCCTCTCTCTCTTTGGAGAAGTTGTGTTTAACCTTTGCTTTTCCTGTAAAAACATGGGGATAGGAAGAATTTTAGGAGCTAATCATCTGCTCTGGAAGAGTCATGTCTAACAGCTGGAGCAGGGATCTGACTCCAGAACTGAGGGAATTTCTGGGCAGTCTGTCACTGGATCTGACTCCAGGTTTAGGGAGATTCCTGGCAGATCTCTTGGTAACGGAGCACATTTGAGTCACTGGGTGTCTCCCAGGCAGAGGAAGAGGATTACAGCGAGGAAGAAAGCTCCAAGGTGGAGCTGAAGCAGGACAGCAACGATTCCTGCGAGTCGGCGGCCAGAGGGGAGAAGGGCAGTGAGAAGGTGGATGCCAAGGGAGCGGTGACGGGCGAGCGGCAGAGCGGGGATGGGCAGGTGGGTGTCCCACGGCTCCGGGCTGGGGGCTGGCAGCAGGACTGCTGCAGTGGTGAGAGCTCCCTGCTTCTGACAGGAGAGCACCGAGCCTGTGGAGAAGAAAGTTGGGAAGAAGGTTCCCAAGCACCTGGATGACGATGAGGATCGCAAGAACCCGGCGTACATCCCACGCAAGGGGCTCTTCTTTGAGCACGACCTCCGAGGGCAGACGCAGGAGGAGGAGGTCAGGTATGTGAGTGTCCCCCTGGGGCTCTGGGAGGGACAGGCCAGCTTCCAGGTCCGCCTCTGGCAGCAGGGCTCCTTGCTTCAGTGGGATGCACTGGGAAGTCTGTGTTTCCATTACCTGCCAGGACACTTCAGCTCTTTGTTTTGAAGGAGAGATGCACAAAACCCACTTGTGCCAGGCACCAGTGACTCTTTCCAGCTGCTTTTCCCAAATAGCAGAGGGTCACCAGCAGCTGCTGGGCAGGAGGAGCAGGAGGAAGGAGTGCCAGGCAGCAGTGACTCTTCCAGCTGCTTTTCCAAATAGCAGAGGGTCACCAGCAGCTGCTGGGCAGGAGGAGCAGGAGGAAGGAGGGATGCTGCCTCCTGTGCCTTCCCTGCCCCAGGAATGCTCAGGCTCTGTATGGAACTGCTCGAAACTGCCACATCTTGACCTTACAGCCCCTTGCTCCTCCCTGTGTCCCTTTTCCAGGCCAAAGGGTCGTCAGCGGAAGCTGTGGAAGGACGAGGGGCGCTGGGAACACGACAAGTTCCGTGAGGATGAGCAGGCCCCCAAGACCAGGCAGGAGCTGATTGCTCTGTATGGGTACGACATCCGCTCAGCCCACAACCCCGACGACATCAAACCCCGCAGGATGCGCAAGCCACGGTGAGCCCCAGAGTCCCACCAGGGCCTGGATTGTCCTGGGGAGAGGGACCAGGACTGGAGATGCAAAGAGGGAAAGCTCAGTCACGTGGGACCATGTTCCTGGGGTTTCTAGATGTGCATACTGGGAAGGTGTTCCCTGACACAAGTGATTCTTCCCACCCAGGGGTTTCTTTCTATTGAATTATTCTATTTTTCTCTATTTTTCTCCCTCAGCTTTGGCAGTCCCCCTCAGCGAGACCCCAACTGGTCCAACGAGAGGCCCCCCAAGCCCCCAAGGCACCAGGGTGCCAAGAGCCCCTCGGCTCCCCCACGGCCCTACAGCAGCCGCAGCTCTGGCAGCGCTGGCAGGATGCCCCCTGCCAGGAACTACCCCAGGATGGGGGGCTACAAGGACACACGTCCAGGCTACCGAGCTTCAGAGGCCACTGTCCTGCACAGGAACGGGGAACAAGCCAAGCAGGAGGGTGGCTACCGTGGGAAGCACACAGAGCAGAGCCCATCCAGGGACACGTCCCCTGAGTTGGAGGTGGGACATGTCCATGGCAGCCCTGGGAAGGAGGAGGGGGCTCTGGAAAACCAAGCCACGGGTGCTGATGCTGTGCAGCCACCACCGGACAGACCAGTGGAGAAGAAATCTTATTCCCGGGCAAGAAGGACCAGAGTCAAGGCTGGGGAGGCAGGGAAGCTGGCAGAGGAGGTGCCTGCTTCTGAGGGGCTGGCTCCTGTGATTCCAAAAGCCACGCCAGCTGAGACCTCCCCCACACCAGCCAAGAGCAATTGGGAGTCACCAGTGGAATCCAGCGTGGATGGACTTGAGCAGGAGATGACCCAGATGAACCTGACAGAGCAGAACTGGAGCCCGGGGCAGTCCCAGTTCATCCCGCCCCGGGAGCTGAGGGGTAAGTGGGAGCAGCCTCCTGGTTTTCCAGCAGCCCAGTGCCTCCTGATCTGTGCAGCTGGTCAGAGCTGAGCTGTCTCTGTCCAAGCCCTGTCCCAGGGTGGGTGCACAGTGGCAGTTTCTGCTGGGAAAGTGCTGCAGTATGGATACAACAGAGAAAAAGGGAAATTAAACATTTTTGTGTAGGTGAATGGAATTAGGGCTGGGAAGGATAGAAGGGATCCTTTCCCTGTGGTGTGAATCACAGCAAGACTGACCCCTGCTGCAGGAGAGCACGAGATAAGGATCAATAATTGGCTCTGTGATGTCCTGCTCAGAGCTGAAAGGAACTTCTTCCTGTTTATCAGCTCATTTCCTGGCACTGGGATTTGGTTACCAATAGCCAAGGCCTGGCAGGGATTGGCAAATCCCTTTGTGCCTGGGAGGAGGGAGGGACATGGGACAGAGTAACTCTGGTGCCAGCTGAGGACAGTTCCAGTTGCACATCCACAGAGAGGTCATCCAGGTATAATTATCCCTTTGCAGAATTAGAGTCTGTGCTGGGAAGTGTCAGAATGCTTCCCGAGGGGAGTAAAACTGGAGCAAGGAGAAGGAAGCGACTTGGCTGCTTTCATAAGTGTCTGTGAGGTTGAGGTCGTGGAACCAGAAGTCATTTGGTACTGGTGGCACTGTGAAGTCTGTGAGAACAGACCCCTGGACAGGCTGGAAACATCACAGTGGGATGAGAATTCAAAAGTGATGGGATTGTCTGGTTTAGGGGTTTTTTTTAATGCACAAAAATGAAGCATCTTTCCCAGTTTCCCACAGGCCAGCTCTTGGCTGCAGGTACACGATCATGTTCTGCTGTGAGAAGGATGATGACTCTGCTGTCCCTTTTTTGTCCCTAGCAGAGGAGGGAGGAATTATTCTGGGAAGCATTTGGCTCCCATCCGTCCATTCTGTATCCCTCTGTCAGTGATCCATGAGCACTTCCGGGGTTTGTTTGACCCATTTTCACTCCCTCGGAATCACCTGTGGTCACCTTGGCATTGTAATTTTAAGCCATGGTTTAAAATTCCCTTTGCTATGAATTCACATGGATTCAGTTTGCTGTTGGAATCCAAAGGAGCCTGTGATAAAAGTGTTTACACCCTGCAGAGGGTTTACACTGCAGCTACAGATCCCACATGGATCCTTGATCCATCTGGAAGAGATCTGAGTCTCAGCAGACACAGAGCTCAGAGCAAGACCTGAGTTTCAAGCTGTGGATTTAGTTTTGAAACAGGATTTAGGCATTACTGAGCACCTTGAATAAATGTGCAGCGACAAAGCAGCCTCTAATTTATCCCAAAATATTTAAAATCACCGAGGCCATGAAGTCCAAAGGTTCCACGTCATGGGAGCGGGAGCTGAGCTGCAGCCATGCCCCCGGGTGAGGCAGCTCCAGCCTGGGAACCAGCACAAATCACAGTAATAACCAGTCTGTTCCTTCCTCAGGTATTCCCAACCATGTGCACGTGGGAACTGGGCCAGCACCGCAGTTTAACCGGATGGAGGAGATGGTAACGCGTGACTCGCACACGGGCTCTCATTCCCTCGGCCTTGTGCTAATTACAGGCTCTTGATGCCTCAGCCTTTCCCTTGGGGGGGTGTTTGGGGGTGACCCAGGGGAGGTTTGGGGGTCAGGGGTGTGGGGTGGGTGCCCCACAGCCCCCCCTGACCCCTGGACTCTCACAGGCAGTGCCGGGGGGGCGTGTGAAGCGCTACTCATCGCAGCGGCAGAGACCCCCCGTGCCAGAGCCCGCACCCCCCATGCACATCAGCATCGTGGAAGGGCACTACTATGACCCACGTGAGTGTTTCCTTCCTGCTCCTGTGGCTCCATGTGATCCCTGCTCCACGTGAGCAACTGGAGCAAGGATCTCCCCATTTCTTTCGGGGCTGGAACTGTGTCTTCTCTTGTGTTTGTTGTGTCCTCTCATACAGTGTCTCAAAGGCAGCTGGGAGCCTGCCTGGTTGTGTTCAAACCCGTGGAATTATCCTCAGAGTTATCCCCTCTCTGTGCCAGGGCTCTTAGGACACCCCAATTCTTCCTGAGAATTGGGATTAAAATTGAATTTTAAATCAGGTCTTTGACGTTTGAGCATGGGGAGAACAGAACTGGGGATGGATTAGGAATTCCCTCCAGCATTTAAAGTGTTAGAGAAGAAATTCCCTGAGTGTTTTCCTGCTTTCTAAAGGGAGTAGGAGGCTTTTCTTTAGGGAGCATGTCCCATCTGTGAGCCCTGGAGCCTCTGTGTGCTGTGGGAGCCCTCAGGGCAGGCTGGGCTGTGTGTGCCCAGCTGCAGGGGACTGAAATTCCATGGAGCTTTTCCTCACAGCCTGTCATGTGTTGTTGCAGTACAATTCCAGGGACCAATCTACGCCCACGGTGAGAACCCAGCCCCGCTGCCGCCCCAAGGGATGATTGTGCAGCCGGAGATGCACCTCCCTCATCCAGGTGAGGAGCCAGTGGGACACCCCTGGACTCGGGGAACAGAGAACTCTGCTCTCCCATGGCCTCTATCACAGAGAGGAATCCATTTTCCTTAATTCTACAACATGGAAGAGACCTGCTCCCTCCTGCAGTGAGGCTGAACCGGTATCAGTTTTAATAAAAGAAAAAATAGATGTTTCTGGAGCTTCCAGCCAGTGCAGGACAAGGGGAGCTGAACCTTTGGCAGCTCCCAGCTGGATGTTTGCAGGTCCCTGTGGGGCCTCAGCAGGCTGGGCCGCTCCCTTCCGTGGGCACTGGGCTGGTTCCTCAGTCCCTGGCCCTGTAGCTCAGGAAAAAGCAGAACTGGGAGCTGTCTAACACGTTCTCTGCTTGCCCACACAAATTGTTTCCTGCAGTGGAGTTGCCGTGGGGCCACATCTGGTTCTGCTGAATCCGGACCTGGGGAGGGGGCTGTGTTCTGCTGCTCTGTGTCCCTCCCCAGCAGGGAGCAGAGCATGCTCCTTCCTGCTGCTACCCAGGGACGCTCTTTTTTGGGTCACCTCCAGGTTTACACCCCCACCAGACGCCCCCTGCCATGGCAAACCCCGGCCTGTACCCCCCAGCAGTGTCCATGCCCCCGGGGCAGCCCCCGCCGCAGCAGCTGCTCACTCCGACTTACTTCTCGGCCCCTGGAGTGATGAATTTTGGGAATCCTGGCTACCCCTACCCCCCTGGAGCTCTGCCCCCTCCGCCCCCTCCTCATCTCTATTCCAACACGCAGGTAAGCCGGGTGCGCCGTGGCTCCTCCCCAGGCAGGAGCAGGTGGGATGGTGTGGGATGTGGGGTGTGAGGTGTTCCTGGGAGAGGATGTGCAACAGCTCCGTGGGGAAAGGCTGCTGGAATCCCAGAAAGGATTGTTCTCATGGCTGCTGTGCAGCTCCCTGAGTGTGGCAGGCACTGGGTGAAATCCTGTCCTGGGGGGTGTGGAATTGGGGTGTTCCCTTATGGAAGAGGGAGACAGCCCCTCCAGGGCCCTGCTGAGCCAAGGATACCTTGGGAATGGCTTTGGAAGTCAGTTCTGTTTGAGATAGAGGCTGGGAATTGCTGGTGTGAGCAGCATGGGGATGGATTTCCATGCTCCATAGCCCAGCTTGGTATCTAAGGTCACTGCTAGGCTGTGAGGAGGCAGATTGGATTGGGTCCCTGAGGAGGCAGATCAGACCAGATCCTGCAGGGACATGGGTCAGATTCCTCTGAGGAGGCAGATCAGATCAGATCCCTGAGAAGACAGATTGAATTGGGTATCTCTGAGGATCAGACCCTGTGAGGAGGCAGATAGACCTAATCCCTGAGGAGACAGATGAGACCAGATCCTTGAAAAGGCAGATGAGACCAGAGCAGACCAGATCCTGGTGCCGTGGTGGCTGGAGCAGGGCTGACAGGCTGTGACTGGAGCAGGGCTGACACGCCGTGGAAGGCTGGAGAGCTGCATGTTCTCTGAGCTCCCAGCCATCCTTGCCCTTCCCACTGCTCCAGCTCATCTTGGCAGGACCTCACCCTGCTTTGAGGGCAGTTTCCCCCGAGGCTGCAGGGCTGGATGTGCAGGGGAGCTGTGTCCAGACAGAAAAGCTGCTGTTGGGAAGTTCAGGCATTCCATGGACTGCAGGGTGAGGGAATCCCATCTGCACAGGCTGTGTCCTGTCCCTGCTGGAGCTGGGGGACATTGATGAGGGGTGGGGACACACAAGGAGCTTTGGAGGCTGATCTCTGGGGGGCACAGCCCCTCTTGGCTCTGGCTGGGGGCTGCTGGGTGCCAGGAGGGGCTCACAGGGCCCCCCAGCCCAGAGCTCTGATCCTGCTGCTCCTGCAGGCGCAGTCCCAGGTGTATGGGGGGGTCACCTACTACAACACTGTCCAGCAGCAGGTGCAGCCCAAGCCCTCCCCGCCCCGCCGGACGTCCCAGCCTGTGACCATCAAGCCACCCCCTCCAGAGGTACCATCCCCTCACCTTTGCTCCTTGTGTGTGTGTGTGTGATGTCACTGGTTTGTGTGTGTGAGGCTGCAGTTTCCTCTCCCATCCCCAAAAAAATAACATTGTTCTTTTGTAAGGGGAAATCTTAAACTGTCTCATCTCTGACCTGTCCCAAACCTCAGCTTCTCGTTGCAGGTGGTAAGCAGGGCTCCAGTTAATTTGAATTACTTAAATCTTTAAAACTAAAACCACGTAAAAAGTAAGTCTAAAGTTGACTCTTTTTTATTTTATTTGTTCAGGGTAGAAAACAGGACGATTTTGAGAGGGAAAAATCCAGCCCTGGCTGGAGGAGCTAGGAGGCAGGGAGTTCTCTGGAAGGATAAACATTGAGAACTCAGCAGATAATTCAGGCAGTAGAGTTAAAGGTTTTTCAGGATGTGAGTGCTTCCCTGTGCTGGGAGTGATCTCCTTGCTCCAGTGCTGTGAGCTGTGCATGTGTGAGCGTGCTGGAATGCCATGTGTGTTTTTGGTTTCCCTTTCCATATCTTCTTCATGTATGGCAGCCAAGCAAGCCCAGACCCGGGCAGACATGTGCTGGTGGGTTCCTGTACATGGGGAGGGCTGAGAAGCAAATTGTCTGATGGAGGGGCCCTGGAAAGGCCTCGTGATGGAAAAATCTGGAACCATGAGGAGAAGTTGGCACAGGGGGGCTGGTTGTGCCCAGAGAGGTGGGTGGGGTGATTGCTGGCAAGACCCAGCCATAGCAGTGTTCCCCCCATGTAGGGGTTTGGGGGGCCCTAAACCTCTGCTGCTCTTCCCTCTTCCCCCCCTCCCAGGACAGCAAAGGTGAAAAATCAAAGGAGAGGAGCAACACGTAGGGACACAGCCACAGGAATCCCAGCACCAGACTCAGCCCCTCGGCAAGGAGGAAGGCTGCTCCTTGGAATGGCTCCTTCCCTGCGTGGAGGTGAGGCAGCAGGATGAGCCACCTGCACTGTGCTCAGGACCAGGCACTTCCCCCATGGCCTGAGCAGTGCCTTCCCAAAATCCATCTTGCTGCTGCCCACTCCCCTTCTCCCCCGTGCTGGGGCCGCCAAAGAACCAATCCCTGAGTCGGTCCTTGGCCACAAGTTCTCCCAACTTCTCCCCGTTACTAAATGTTCCTCGCTCCCTCCTGGGATGTCAAACTCTGCTGGCTTGATCGTGGTCTCTGTTTTTATTTAAGGAATGAAGCAGCTCCTTCAGTAAAGCTGATTTGTTTCTTTTGGGTATTTTGTTTTTATTTGTTTGGGTAAGCAGCAGTGACATTCCCCCCACCCCAGTTCATTCCTCTTCTCAATTCTCTTTTCAATTAGCAAGTTGGTTTCTGCCACTTTTGGAGCAGGGGAAGGGCAATGGAGCCGTGGGAAGCTGTCAGGAATGCACTGCCTGGGCAGGAACCACTTAACTTAGGAGCTCCTCGATTCTTTTCCCAACAAAACTTGGTAACTGGTGTGTGTGTGAGCTCTCAGGTGGGAATCCACAGGGTGACCCCCATCCCTGCCACCCCCAGCAGCACAAGGGGATGTTTCCACCCTCCCTCTGTCAAATCCACAGAGAGAGGAGGAGGTTTGTGGGCACCCAGCACCCCGACGCTGCCCGAGCAGCCCAGCCAGCACCCAAACCAGCTCGGCAGGGCCAGGTTTGCTCCCAGCACTTGGGTGTTGCTGCTGGGGCTGTGGAGGGTGTTGGAACCCGCCCCAACGCACCGGGCTGGGCTCCGGCCTCACAAGGAAAGCACCTCAGCCCTGCTCCAGCTCCTGCCTCACTTCCCCACAGCAGCCTTGTGTCCCCCCTTTGGGACTCCTGACCCCACGGGGTCACTGTCACCGCAGCTGTGCCACTCTGTCCTGGCTGGCTCTGGTGTGCGGCAGCGCTGCCGCTCCTCATCCCGCATCCCTCCGGCCCCGCTCCCGCTCCGGCTTGGCCACGTCCTCGCAGCCATTTGCAAATTGCATTAGGAAACTTGGCAGGGCCGGCTGCTGATTCCTGCCCATTCCTGCCGGTTCCTGCTGCTCTCCTGAGCACGTGCCGGGACGCCGTGGGGACGCGCCAGTTGCTGGCTGAGGGGGACGGCACCGAGCAAGAGGTGGCTCGGCCACCCCGTCCCCATCTGTGGCCAGGATGAGGGACCAGAACCCACCTGCTCATTCTCTGTGTGTATCCCTCATCCATGCCTGGCTCTCCAGCAGAAATTCCTTCTCTGTATGATATTTGTGACTCCGTGACCTTTTGTGTCTTGTTTCAGCCACCAAAGCAGAATCCCCTCATCTTTTAGATGTCATTGACACATTGGTTACACAACTGAAATCCTGGATCTTATACCTCCATCCCGAGGTTTTGGTGTTACTTGGATTCCAGTCGTGTGGGATGCACATTTAACAGCTTTGTTAGCAGACAGCTCTTGTGTGTCCTTCCTGGGGCTGAGACCCACAGGGACAGCGTCCACCTGAGCTTCCCTGGCAGGACCAGTTGCCAGCTCTGCTGTCTCCCAGGAGCTGCTCCCTCCCCAGGGGCCATTCTCCCTTCCCAGGAGCCACTCTGCTCTTCCTAGGTACAGCTCTGCCCTTCTCAGGAGCTCACAGTGGGACTGAAATTGCAGCTCTGCTGTGCCTGGCACCAGCCGCCCTCACTCCCACATCTCTGAAAGCAGCTGCCACCCATCCCCAGCCCAGCTCTGCCCCACTAGCGGGGCTGGAGGGAGCCCCTTGTCTGTCTGGGGCCTGATGTGAGCCCCCTCCTCTCCCCCAGCCTCCCTGGCTCACGGGGAAGCACCAACTGTTGTGTTGGTGGTGCAGGAGCTGCCGCCTGCACGTTTGTGCCGCGCTGCCTCCGCAGCCGCCTGCCAGCCCCCTGCCCACGCCAAGCAGAGCTGGGGGGCACACACCCCACTCCTGTCACACCCTGATCCTGTGGATGGAGCATCACGGTGAGCTCTGCCCTCCTGCAGCCAGGGATGCTGGTGGGCCCTGCCTGTGCCATGGTGGAAAGGCAGGGGGGACCCCAGCTCCCCCCTTTGCATCCCACCCCCTTTTCCCCCCCTTCCCTTCAGGTCTCCCCAATTTCTGCCCTCACTTCTGGCAGTAGGGTGGGGATCCCAGAACGGTTCCAACAGCAGCAGGAGGCATCACCTTCCTGCCCACATTGCTGTACTACCCCATCCCTCCCCAGTGCCACTGCCTCAGTTTCCCTCCCTGGCAGCAGGATCAGATCTGAGCATAATCCAGGATTTGGCTCAGCCCTTCACAGGGACCTGATGGAGGAGCTGCCCCAATCTCATGGTGCTTCTCCCCTTCCCCAAATGCCTGAGTGCCTTCTCCCAGTGCTGCAGCTGGGAAGTGGGTTAAAGCGCTGGCTTGGGGAGGGATTTTTCCCGGGGTGTAATTTTTCCCTCCTACACACGGTCTGTTTTGAGCAGTGCCTGGAGGCTTCGCACCCCCGGCTCGCTGCCGGGGCGGGGGAATGCGCTGGCTGCCAACCCAGGGAAGCGCCCGCTCCAGATCCCAGCTCGTTAGGAGAAATAACAGCAAATTAATTAAGCCAATAGTTCACTCTGTGCCAGCAGTGCCCCCATCCCTGCCGACACGGGGAGAGGGGATGGGACAGGCTGGATCTGGAGCACCTTTCCCAGGGGGAGCATTGCCCTCAGCATGGCACAGTGCTCCAGGTCCCTCCTGCTCCTGTGGGCCAGTGCATCCCCATTGCCACCAGTGTCTCAAGGTCTCTCTGTGCCTCAGTTTCCCCTCCTGCTGTCAGGAGAAGCCCCTCTCTGCTTCAGGTGACTGAACCTGACCACCAGCACCATTTACACCCACATCCAAGAACCCTTGTCCGAATGCAGTGGGGAAAGGGGATGGAGGAGCTCAGCAGAGTGGGATTTTTTGGGGGTGTTGGATGGGCTGTGGGGGATCTGAGCGCTGGAGGAGCAGAGGAGGGACGTGCCGGGCCATGCCGTGCTGTGCCATCCCGACAGAACCTCATCCAGCCGGGGATGGGGATGGGGATGTGGGGCCGTGTTTTGCTGCTCTCCGGCAGCCGCATGGATGGAGTTGCCAGGCAACTGCCGGGTGGAGGCGAAGCGGGAACAAAGCGGGAACTGCCGGGACCCTCGTTCCTCCATCTCCACCCGAACCCCCTGGGCAGTGGGGCCCAGCAAAGGCCGTGGGGTGACTTGCTGTGTCCCCCCCAAGTCGCTGCCACCATCCCAGCCCGGAGTTGCCGCAGGGCCGTGGTTTTGCAGGGGGATGGACCCGGGAGAAGGGGACTGGCACCTGCTGGCCTGTCCAGAGGGTGCAAGGCGGGGCTGAGGGCAGTGGGCATGGGCAGGATGGGTGCTCAGCACCCCGCAGGAGCGGGGCAGGAGGATCAGCCCCAGGCAAGCGCCACATCTGGCCCTGCCCTGCCCCAGAACCTGCCCCGGAACCTGCCCTGGCACGCCGGGGCCCGTTCCAGCCTGGCAGGCGGCGGAAATGGGGGGGTCTGGCAGCCACCCCGACCTGCCCACCCTGCCCGCGGGGCAACCCAGCCCGAGGGGGGTGCCAGGCTGGGGGATCTCGCACCCACCCCCGGCCTTTTCCCACGCTGCGGCGGGTGCAGAGAGCTGGGCTGGGGGTCCGGGGGTGGCTCACCCACAGCTGGGGATGCGCCCTCTGTGCAGGGGACACTGGGGAGGGGCAGTGCCATGTGCCCCTGGGCTGGCATGGGGGAACTGTGGGGTGTGCGGGGGGGAGCCGGGCACCACGGGGGTGTGAGGCAGCGGGGGGCTGTGGGGCTGTGTCCCCCGGTCGCGGTGTGTGACAGTGGGGGGTGACACGCTCCGGGCTGTGCCCCCCAGGCTGTACGGTGTGTGTGTGGGGAGGGGAGCGTGGTGGTACCCCGGGGATGCGGCAGGGGAATGCGGGGAGATGGGAGCGGGGGTGCGTACTGCATCACCTGTGCGGGGCTGCGGGGAAGCGGGGGGCGGGCACCGTGTGCTGCTGCGAGCCGGTGTCACCGCAGCCCCGGGGCGGGTTTGGTACCGAGTGCGGTGCTGCGGGGAGGGGGCGGGCAGCTGCCGTTGGCGGGCCCGGGGGCGGCGGTGGTGCGGGGAAAGGGGCGGGCAGGTGCCGGGGTCGGCGGCGGCGGGGCCGTAACGGGGCGGGGCGGTGCTGGCGGCGGGGCCGGTGTGGGGCGGGCGCAGCGCGCAGCCGGTGCGGGGCGGGCGGGGAGCGGTGCCGCGGCCCGAGCCCGAGCCCGAGCGGAGCCGAACGGAGCCGCCACCGCCGCCGATGGGCCCCTGAGCCGCCGCCGCCGCCGCGCCCGGGCGGCCATGAAGCCGCTGGAGAAGTTGCTGAAGAAGCCGGGCTCGCACCTGCCCGTCCGCCCCGCCGCCCCCCCGGGGCAGGTACCGGGGCCGGGGTCGGTGCCGGCGCCGCGGCGGCAGAGCCTGTCGCGCCCGCCCGCCTCCCCCGAGGAGCCGGCGGGGCCCGCGGGGCCGGTACCGGGGGGCGAGGGCCGCTGGCTGGAGCTACGGCCGCCCGATGCTCCGCTCCGCTCCCCTGAGGATCCGTCACCGGGCTGCGACCGCGATCGGGACCGGGAGCGGGAGCGGGAGCCGCCGAGCCCGGAGCCGCCGCCCGCCGCCCGGTGCTGCTGCGGCTGCGGCTGCGCCCCCGCCGCGCCCGCGCCCCCCGAGCGGCTCCTGGCCGCACTCCTCGACCGACTGCCGGCGGCTGCACACGGGAGGGGCTGCGGGGCAGGTACGGGGCTGGTACGGGGCTGCGGGACCGCCGGGAACGGCTGCGGGGGTGCCCGGCGTGGGGAGCGCGTGGATCGCGGGCGATGCGGCGGAGCCGGGAGAGCCCGGGGGCGGCCGCTGATTGAGGGGGGGATGCGCCGGTGGATGCTGGGGTGGGGGACAGCGGGGTGGGTGGGGGGACACTCGTGCCAGGTGAGGCGGGTGGCCCTGCACAGGGCACACAGCGGTGCCCGGTTGGGGTGACAAGGTCAAAGCTGTGTCGGGGCAGGGCGTCGGTGGCAGAGCGGTGGGCAGGAATCTGTGGGGTGAGCAAGACAGCACGGCAGAGGGGCTGGAAGGGGATGTGGCAGTGCCAGCTCGGTGGGGGCCGGGGGTGGCCGAGCACCGGCAGTCACTGCAGCATCCACCTCCCGGTTGGATGGTCCTTAACATCCTCCTGGTGCTAAAATTAGCCCCGACGGGAGCTGCAGTGGAGGGGGGGCCGGTTGGATGCCC